GATAAAATAAAGTGCAGCAGGCAGACTGCATAAGCCTGTTGTGCTGGTAGAGTTTGGAAAACACTGTCCTGCTTCAGGTTTCAAGCATGCACACTCACTCATGGTTGCTTATGGAGTTTAGCAATTTTACTTCAAGGCTGAATAGATAACAGTGAATAAAGGAAAGTAAACAAAACAGAGGCTTTCTAAATAGGAGTATACAGAAAATTAGTCCAAATCCAAATCCAGGGTTCCAAGAGCCAGATCAGGATTGTCAGCCAGTCCAGAGGTTTCAAACACAAACAGGATTTGCAGAAACATTATGCAAGAGCTGGAGACCAGACATCATTTTCAGCAAGGAGAGCCTGGCTCAGAGCTGCTTCTTAAATAAGGCTGCAGCCAGTTGTCACTAATCAGGAGATTTACTCCTTTGCTTGGCAAGGAGCCTAATCAGCCTTTGCTGCTTTCTTCTCTACTTTTTAGGTGCAGGGGCTGGGAGGCCTTACATCATCCTCATCTGACTTCTCCAGCTGCTCAAGTGGTGCCTGATTCCTGGCTTTGTCTCCCCTGAGGCTGACATTCCACAGGCTCAGCTGGAGCAGCTTCTTCAGGGTCAGATTCAGATTCAGAATCTGAGTCCTGCACCTGGGCCATGACAAACACTTCTTTCGATGCACAGCAAAAAAAGATGGGTGGAGGTTGCCTTCCCAGCATGCTTGGGGTACACCGAGGACCCTGTCCTGTGTTCGTGCCCTCCAGAAATGATAGGTGGTCATTCTCATGCTGCGGAAGCAGGATCTGCCCAATGAGCAGATCTGTAACAGTCCTTCACTGCTGAGCAAGGCACCCTCTTGAAGGATCTGCACTGGTCTAACATAAAACAGTAGAATTCACCATGGATGCATATTGGCATCGATGCTTTAATTTTTTTAAAAAAATGATATAGTGTTAGACCAGCAGTGAGATGGCTAAGATTATGTCATTCCAAATTGTTCCAGGATTTTAAAAAGGAAAAGCTTCAAAAGAATCTCACTAAACTGAATTGCCATTAACTGATTTAGAAGGGGACAAAAAGTTCAGACCATGAGATCTGAATAGATAGTAACTGACCAGGAAAGAATCTTGGCATTATGGTAAATATCTCAACAAAATGGTGACTTGGTGTGCAGTTGCTGTGAGAAAGGAATTGAAAATAAACTGTATAATGCCCTATTTTATAAGATTTATAACTATATGATTTATAATTTTGAATGTTGTCTTTAGCTTTGGTTCTGAGGCTTGGAAAGGGTATCGTAGAGGTGAGAAAGTCACGGAAAGTCACAGAATCGGAGCAACTCTATAAGAAACATTATACTGAAGGATAAAACAAGTAAGAAGGCAAAAATGGTTGACATATATAAAATTAAGACTGCTGAAAGTGGAGATGAACAGGTTTTTCTCCTTAAAAATGGAGTAATCCAGTATACTTGAATAGTGCGGATTCAGAAGATAAAAAGAAGAAATTTGTTGCAATGACCTTGGACAGCTGCACAAAAGAATTATCATGGAGAATAAAACTAGTCTTCATATTATTTTCAGTATCTGAGGTAATATTCTTCTGGATAGCAACTGGTGGAGGTCATAAGCCAGAAGGTACTCTTATAGTCATATCCTGCCTGCACGCTTCCAAATGGTATCTTATTGGCTACTATGAGAATCAATACTAGATTAATTAACCCTTTGATCTTTTCCAACATGATTCCTCTTACGTTCTTAAGGCATAGCCACCACTGAATATACTACTGTTACATATGTATATAATACTAGTGTGAAAGGCACATACTCAAATATATCATTTTTATTATGCAAACATAGACATATCCTACTATTATAATGACTCTCCTCCAATCTAATGTTGAATAAAGTCCTTGAAGGGAGAAATTACACATCCCTTCCCTTTGTTCAGAGAAGAAAATCTTGTGCCTGCACACACAAAAGATTTTCTTTCACAGCAGCATGAGTTCAGCCAAATGTTTTATGTGAGGATCTATCCAAGACTCACTATGAAGAGCTTTGTCATGTGTCTCACATAATGAGTTCAGGCACCTGCTCCTTCAAATACTCTATCAGGATAATTTTGACACTGCACTTCATGGGAATTTAATTTCATAGACTTCTGCTTAAATAGAGATTAGAGTTTCTGCCAAAACAATATCAATTGAAAAGATGACATTATAATTAATATAATATAAAGCAATGACTAGCTCTATCTTTCAACTACAAACAAGACACTAAGTTAAAATTTTGCAATGTAATCATATATGTATCAATTCAGAAGCAAGCCTAATTGTGCAGCATGTCTATTGAAAGGTAAGCCTTATTGAGTTCAAAGAGAATGTATATAGGATTGCAGCTTAATTCACCTACCGTATATAATGGTAGACAACAGAAGTTGAGCACAGAATGTTTGGTACTGAAAGCGAATGTACCGCCATTATCTGGAACTCAGATCTGGATCTCTTCTCTTTCTCTCTCTTTCTCTCCTATCTCTATCATCATTTTGTCCGCAATGGATTCCAAATTTCTTCATGCAAAGATAGTTTTATTTCTTCCAGCATTATTTGGATTTTTGCGTAATGGCAACATTCACCACATTAATGTACATTATAAAAATATTTTAAAAGATCTGACAGCACAATTGAAAATGCAAAAAAAAATTGATTTTTTTAAAATGAGGACTTCATTAATATTATAAAAGTTCTTGTTTAAAATTATATTTATTTGTAAGAATGCAATTTCTTTGATTTATTACTTTACTGACTTCTTAACCCAGCTGTAGCAATTTGTTCTATACTACTTACACTTAATTAAAAGATCAAAAGGGGATTCTGCCTTTTTCCCCAGTTCATGAATTAGCTACATTTTTTATTAATACACTTACACTATGCATTTCTGTAAAGCCCAAACTATATATAATAGATAATGAAGGTCAGGATAATAGCAGTAAAGAAACGTTTTTTCATTACTGATTTCAGTAACAATATAATTTTGTCCTACCAAGTGTGTTTCCAGGTAGAGTTTAAGACTATCTGTCTCTGCCTTTGGAGGAGTCCAGTTTTCTGTGGTTTCCATGGCTTCATTTAACCAGTGAATGAATTCATCCAGCTTGCTTACAAACCCCTTCCAAAAGAAAGAACAAGAAAAGACATAGTTGTTAAAAACATTGTAAATAAGTAGTACAATTATAATGCAGCTCTGCATCCAGAAACTAGCTGTATACTAAAAGAATGTGGTGATGAGGAATTGGTGGGAAAAAAGGAATTGGGCTTAACTTATATTGAGAGAGTTTAGGGCAGCGATGAACTGGTGTATAGATTTCTTGTCATAACCACGCAAAACCCCTATTTCATTAGAAGCAATTTTGGAAATATATATTTTCTATATGGCAACAAAGAGAGAGAGAAAAAGAGAGAGAGAAGGATAGATCAGCAATGCCAAGGGTTAGGAAACAAAGTAATAAATATAAGGAAGCCTACATTTAGGACATATTTTGACTCTCTGAATTTTAAAATCCATTTTATAAAGATTTTTTCATGGATTAGTACTTCTGAGAGTAATTATATCTGAATAGAAAATGTGAAATGTGAGCTGTTTGGTAACAGCTGATTTACCATGCTATAGAATTAACTAAAGGTAATCAAATATCGAGATGGTGCCCATACAATCAATATTTGCATCTCAGAGAACACATTACTCCCATTTTATTTAAGTTGCACTTGCTTCCAGTTCATTTTTTAAAATTGCAATGTATCAGAAAGCATAAAGCCCTAACTGATTTGGGATCAGATTATTCAATCTTCTCTCACAAACTGATCTGCAGTACTGCACATATCTGCCCTCACACTCATGGCTAGCTGGATGCAGAAGAGGTTCTACTCAGTGTGCAACATGGTCATTCCTAAGGAACCTTGCTTTATTTATTTATTTACTGTTTTATTAGATTTGACTGCCCAACTCCAAAAAGACTCTAGGGGTTAGCAAATGGAATAGACCAGCCTCCATTACAGCAGATGTTCTCCAGATGTGTTGGATGAACTCCCATAATCCTTATGCTTTGTGGGGATTATGAGAATGGAATTCCAACACATTCAGCTTATTTCAGAAACTGAAATAACTCCCCACCCTTCTGTAATTTATTTTGATTTGATTGTATATATTTGTATTATTTTATTTATGTTGTAAGTCACCTGAGAAGCTCTTGAGGGTACAGATTTTTTAAAGAAAGAGGTAGCAAGACTGAGACAGAGTCACTTGGATAGATATACAGACACAAAAGAAAGGTTTTATAGTTGGAACTGGTGATGAATTTCGTGGGATAAACTGTTACTCTTGTAAGAAATGTGAGACAATGGTCCCAGTCCAAAATGTGTGCAGCTATCATGGTATCCTATGTACAACCTTAAAAAAAATCTTCCACAGGAAGTTACAGTGTATCTGTGTGAGATGTTCAGCCGCATCTTGTCACACACTAATAGTAACTTGCAACTCTGGGATCTAGCACCAAATAACCTTTTGTTTTTGCTTTTGTTTTTTTACTCATTAAAAATCCACTGTCACCAATCAGAGTTGGTGCCATTATAGACAGGGAGAGAGAGGAAGCTTTGTCTCTTATATATTTTTCTGTACACATTTTACATATCCTCTTGTGCAGCGCTGGAAGGATTTTAAAAGATTCAGAAACAAAGACAGCTAGAGAACTCCCATTTGGGGGTTGCTCCAACTTCTTGTTTCTGACAAAATCACATTTTGTTGCATTATCTGGGTTTGAAAGATATGCTGGTTGAATCACCTGTATATGAAGTGAGTATAGCTATTGATCCTTCCTTCCTTCCTTCCTTCCTTCCTTCCTTCCTTCCTTCCTTCCTTCCTTCCTCCCTCCCTCCCATCAGTCTAATTGCACTCTCTGACTTATGTGTTGCACAGTTACTAAACTTATGTTAGAACTTCCTCCCTCCCATCAGTCTAATTGCACTCTCTGACTTATGTGTTGCACAGTTACTAAACTTATGTTAGAACTTCCTCCCTCCCATCAGTCTAATTGCACTCTCTGACTTATGTGTTGCACAGTTACTAAACTTATGTTAGAACCATACAAAATACAAACCATACAAAAATGTTTGTCTGTGCAAATCTCTATCTAGTTAGGGATATAGTAGCTAAAACTGTTCTCTGTGTACATGCATGGCAAGATGTGTAGTATCATTTGTTCTCAGTGTACTTGACCACAAGGGGGAGGGGAGTGTAGATATTAAGAATGAAATGCTATTCAGAATAGACAAATATAAAAACATTTTGAATTCCATACCCTATTAATAAATAATCTATAATCTGGAACCTATATTTTTAACATATACTAAATGATATAAATTTATATCATATTTAATATTTAAAACCTGAAATACTGAAGCAAAGACTAACACAGAAAACTGATAAGGTAGAATCATTTATTAAATAATATAAACATTCCCCTTGCACTGTCAGCAGGGGCCACATTGTCATTATAATAAGTAAAGGTGTTTCTGGTGAACATCACTGAAATATAAAATAAAATCCAGTAATAGATGAAAGTACAAGAAAATATTACTATGGCTATAACTGTCATCTGAAAATAAATGGAATAAAGTCCAGTAAAAATTATGCATCTCAATAAACCCACTATTTTTCAGAGGACATCTGTAAAATTTTATGGAGACTGTTCAAAAGAAAACAACTGTAGAAATTGGAAATTATTTATCAGGCTAAAAAGCCTGATGCTGAAAATTATTATCAGAGGGTACAACATCGTCAGGCCCAAAGTGTCATTGTCTAAGTAAACAGCACCATCTGGAGGCATAACCACAAAATAGCTAAGTCATCGCTAGATTTCAAAGAACTATTTAATCATAGTCATAGCCTTCTTCTAGTCATTAAGAAATGACAGCCTCTAGAAAAGATTGGAAATTCCGAAGAGTAATGAATATCTGCCTTTATATCAGGAATGGCCAGCCTTTCTGCATCAATAAGCACATCTGTGTATATTGTTGGCACTCTTACAAAATGGCTGCTAGTGGGGAGATCTGATGATTCAGCAGATGGCTGGTTACATGGTTTACCATTGACAACAACCAATTACAAAACTACTGTGGTTTCCACATCCAATCCTTTACCATCTCTTTCCTTGCAGAAGCTACCTTTGGTCACGTGCCCCTGTTAGGAAAAGGTGGGCATTCAAACAAAGGAAGCGCTAGGATGCACCTGCATATCGTTTTTATTTTCTAAAAAAATTTATAGAACCTCAATAGTGTCCATAGCCATTTTCAAAATAAATATAATGCTGGAGACCGGAGTTTTCCTTTGCAGGATTCCAGCTGCCCACTTTTTAAATGAATTAAAAAAAATGTGAACAAGGTAGGAAAAACATGCAGGGCATGGCTTCTGGAATTCTTTCCAGCATCTTTAAAAGCAGTGCAGTGGGAGGTGTCTGTGTTTTCTTCGGTGTAGTTTATTTATTTATTGCTCAACTTGTATTCTGGATCAATTACTGAAATAACTCTAGGTGGCTGTGGTATTTGGGTTAAAAACAGCAAATAGAAATAACAGAAACAACAACAAAATCCAGGCAGTAATGCATATTGCACTCAGGGAAGGATAGCCAACTCAGACATACTCATAACAATCAAAATAGATTATCAGGGAGCAGATCACTATAGCCAGCCCTGGGCTTGTTGAAAGATTCAGGTTTTTACAGCTTTACGAAAACCCAACAGGGTTTGGGTGTTCTGCAGACATACCATGTTGTACCTTGATATGATGTCGCTTTTCTGCTGACCCTCATACTGCATCGGTGTTCATCTGTGTATGTGCACTTGGAAGCACAGAGTGGGCTCTATATACTCCACTCTGTTACCACTGGGTGCCATTTAAGTTTATATGAAGGAAGCTCTGGCATTTTGTTAGGGATTTTTTTATGCTGTGGGATTCAAAGGGGGGGGGTTTCCCCCTTAAATAGGAGGGGCCAAAGGATACCAAGTCCTCTCCCCACTGGTTAGTATTTCTCAACCCCCCCCCCCCCCCCCCCCCCC